CAGTGAGCTATGGATTGTACCACTGCACTCCAGCCTGGGCAACAGAACACTTTTTTTAAAAAAGCTGGCTGGGCGTGGTGGCTCACACCTGGAATCCTAGCACTTTGGGAGGCCAAGGAGGGCAGATCATGAAGTCAGGAGATCGAGACCATCCTGGCCAACATGGTGAAACCCCATCTCTACTAAACATACAACAATTAGTGGGACATAATGGCATGTGCCTGCAGTCCCAGATACTTGGGAGGCTGAGGCAGGAGAATTGCTTGAACCTGGGAGATGGAGTTTTCAGTGAGCTGAGATTGTGCCACTCCCTCCCAACAGAGGGAGACTCCGTCTCAAAAAGAAAAAACCAAAAACAAACAAAAAACAAGGGAGATAGCCCATGACCTAGGATTCTGTTAATATCCTCATGAATGTGGAAACTCCCTGAGTTCCTCAGAGGCTTTGGATTTCTCTTTGTAAAGGAAGCCAATCTGAGCAAAATGTCTGTGATTCAGAAGCCAACAGGAGGCTAATCATACCATCCCTCAAGGGACATATGGCATGTCACCCAAAAGACACTGGGGTCTGCCTTAAGTATCAGTGAGATGGCCTTCTCTGATTCCTGGCCTATTTTCCAGAGTTGGTTTCTTGCATAACTGATAAAGCAGGGAGTAAACTACCTTGCCCTATGACAGCCTGAGAATTCACTTTTAAGGATAAGTAGATCAGGTGTCTCAAGGACACAGGATCCTGGGGCTAGGCACCCTGTCTATCAAAGGCATTGCAGCCCCTCCCATCAGAACTGCATTATTTCCAGGAACTCCCCAGGGCTATGTGAGAAGGCAGCCCCCAGTGACCCATTAGGGCACCCTCAGGACCTTCCTGTTGAGCTTTTGCTAGTTCTGATCCCAAAAAAAACCATCAGGAATGCTTCCCTTAGTCCAGCACAACCTCCTCTGGGGAGACTCCAGCCCCTGATGTCCTAATCCAAGGATGAGAAGCATCTGTCCATCCTATTCCTTAGACAAAAGGGCCTTGAGGGGCCATTTGGGAAGGCATCGACACTTAAGAGAAAGAGATGAGCTGAATCAGGAACCATCCCCAGCTGTTCACCCAGAGAGGTTTGTGAAGCTCAACAACAAACATGCTGCCTTCCACAAGCCAGGCGTCGTGGCCAGGCCACTAGAGAATTCCTGCCAGGAATGGAATCTGGAACAGACTCTGGTCAACCATTCCCAGATCAGAGGAACCAGAGGCCTTGGACACCAGCACCACAGAGTCTCCATCCTGAGGCTGCATGGGGTCATGCAGGCTGGAGTCTAGCTTTCTCAAATGTTAGAGAGCACCTGGCTGTCCTCCATGCCACCCTACCTCCAGAGAGTCAGAGAAGACCAGCAGCCCAGCTGCCTGGGAGCCTTCTCTTCTCAGCTTCTAGGAAGCAGCTCTGCTGCTGAACAGGGCTGGAGAGCTGTAATTATCGAGACAGGATAAGAGCTATTTTAGGAAGGAGCCATCCTGCTGCCAAGGCTTTTGACTTCCTAAACTAAAACAAGATGCACAGAAAAAGGGGGTGGGGGTGGGGGAGAACAGGGAGGAGCGTGCTCAGTCAAAAACATCAAATCTTGACCAAAGGGAAATATTAACCCCTTCCCAAAGGCACACATTTGCATCTAGGGGTGAGCAAAAGTCTAGCTAAGAACACTATCATCCCCTAGCTTTGGGAAGGAGGCGTAACTCTTCCTTCATCCCCTATCCATCTCCCTATGGACTCCCTCTCTCCTAAGACTCTCCAAGAGCACTACTCAGTCTGTTTCATCTATTTTGACATTTGAGCACAAACATTTCATACTGTTGTTTAAACGTTTCCTGTCTGTGTCTTATCTCCCCAACCACATGGCAAGTTTCTCAAGGCCAAGGAATGTGTGTACTGCAAAGCTTCAATGCTTCCCCTAAAAGTGCCTAGCAGAGTGCTAGGCCTCTGAATAAAAACTGTTTATGGAAGGGAGAGAGGGAGGAAGGAAAAAGAAAGGGAGGGACTCACTGTCTTGCATGGAGACAATCTCCGAAGGTAGCCGCTCCCACCTACAGCTGAGCTCATGGCATAAGGCTGGATAAAAACCCATGGCAGTGGAAGGTGGCAGCCTTGTTTCTAGACACCTCCCCTTCAGCTGTTCCATTATCTGAGCTTAGGCCGACCCCCACTATGCACTCATTTGTTTTCTATGGCCAACTGTCCATCCTGAGTCAGCCTATGAATGGGACCCATTAGAGGCCATTGCTAGGCTTTGAATAATAGAGAAATATGGCAAGAGGAAGAATGGAAGTAGGAAGAGCTTTGACCATCTTGTCAAACATGGGCCAAGAATAGCCAAGGTACTCATGGGAACAATGCAGTGAAATCAGGACCCTACCAAAAATCAGGACACAGGACTGCCAAGAGCAGACTCCACCTTGAGTTTTTCCAAGTTGAGGACCCAAATAGTGTGTAACCCAGAAAAGTGACACCTTTCTGGAATGCCCCAGGCTGAAAAGGGGAGAACCAGGTGGGGACTGATCCAGTGGCTACCTAGACGGCCTTCCCACAGAGCACTTGGCAAGAGTCATCATCTGCCAAAGTGTCTCTATTCTTTCTTTCTAGGACTGCAACTAGTTCATACAGTGCTTTTGTGCAAATACCCCTCTGGAAGGATGCAGACCCACAGGTGAACAGCTTGGCAAATGGAACATACGTTAGATTTCAGCCCCCCACTTTCCCCTCCACCAGGTGCTCTTGTGCAGTGAACAGTCTGCCCAACCATAGGGAGCAGCTCTGTCTTTCTCCATGCCCACTCCCATTATAGGACAGGAGAGGGATTTGGATAGTCGGGTGGGCACAGGAAGACTGGAAGTAACCTCCCAGGGGTGTTCTTACCTCCTCATCTGTCATAACAGAGAAGTAGAAGCCAGGCATTCCCAGGGGGGCAGCAAGTGGAATTCAGAGTGTGCCAATAGAAAAGGAAAAAGAGAAATTTACTAAAGATGCCCAGTGGACTTGGGCAAACCTGGCCCAATCCCTTCCTAGTGCAAGTGGCCCAAATAATAGCAGCTGGTCTTTACTGAAAGCTCACTGTTGCCAAGTACTGTGCTAAGAGCTTTAGAGGTAATACCTTGTAATAATCCTCACAATAACCCTAAGAGGGAGCCATTATTTTCATTAACAGATGGGGAAACTGAGGCTTAGAGAGGTAAAATAACTTACCCAAGGTCACAGTCAGCAAATAGTGGACCCAGGGCTCAAATCCAGTTAGTAACTCAAGTTTGTACTTAACTGTGCCCCTACTTTATAGAGCTTTCCTCCCTCTGAAGAGCAGGACTGCCCATCTCTGCTCTTTGCTGACCATCACTAGGAGGGTTCAAGCTGGTTGGGCTTGGATGGCATTCCCAGGGCTCTCTGCCCCCAGGAACTGCTTTATCCAGAGCCCTGGCCTCTGTCATGCTCAAGGGCTGGAGTGTATTTTGGGCCGTGATGTTCGCAACAAGAAGCCCCTGCTGCCAAGATTTACTCCATGAGGGTGGTCCCCACCCTCCCCTGCCCCCAGAGAGGCCAAGAGTATAAAGGGAGCAGAGGGTGACAAGGCTGGGGGACACTTCTCTCAAGCATTCTAGAGCTGCAAGATACACTGATGGCCTCAAGGAGAAAGCCCAGACATCTCTGAAGATCCTGCCTGGGCAGCATCAGTAAGTACCCTAGGTGGTAGAGTGGGTCATGAGGAGGGTTCTAAAAAACCAGAGAAACACTTGAGAAGAGTCCCCAGCCTGAATAAATATGAAGTCAACCCTGAGCAAACTGTGAAGCAGGCAGTATGCTTTGGTGTATTTTTTTTAATTACATGATAGGTGGCCAACTAAGCTGAAAGGCCACGAGGCTTAAATTATTCTCCGTACCTAAAGTGACTTCCTATTAAAAGGAGATTCTTGAAAATGGAAAAGGTGGCCAGGCGCGGTGGCTCACGCCTGTAATCCCAGCACTATGGGAGGCTGAGGCAGACAGATCACCTGAGGTCAGCAGTTCGAGACCAGCCTGACCAACATGGAGAAACCCTGTCTCTATAAAAATACACAATTAGCCAGGCATGGTGGTACATGCCTGTAATTCCACCTACTTGGGAGGCTGAGGCAGAAGAATTGCTTGAACCTAGGTGGAGGTTGCTGTGAGCTGCAATCACGCCATTGCGTTCCAGCGTGGGCAACAAGAGCAAAACTCCATCTCAAAAAAGAAAAAGAAAAGAAAAGGAAATGGAAAAGATTCCAAGCCCCAAAGAAATTACTCTAATGGTGGAATTTCAGTAAGATGAGAAGTTCCTCTGCTCCTTCAAGTCAAAATCCCAGCATTTATCTCCTAAATGACCCAGCTCTGTAGATACATAGATGCCACTCCTCACCTGCCCTCCCATCTCCCAAGCTCCCACAACAGGCCCACAGGAGGGAAAAGTACAGACCTTTTAGCCACTGGATGACACGATTGTTCATTTCCTCAGAGACATCTGAAAGTAACACAATTATGGTTGCTTTTCTTCTCCCTGTGGGATGCAAATCCCACCCTCCACTGCTTGCAGCTCCCTTTCTAGCTCCACATTTCTCACCCAAAGGTGCCCTCAGCCCTTGGTCCTCTCCAAGAAGCTCCTCCAGCATAGGACTATATATTCCCACTCTCCCTATCCCTCTCTCTGTGGCCCTGTGAATGCCTTTCCCCTCCTGGAAGTCTAAATCCCAGCTCATCTGCACCCCACCCTCTCCACTTTGTTGCCAGCGTGTTTACCTGAGGCCCTTCTTCTGTTTAACAGCCCTTACCAGCCCTCACCCCAGCTCAGTGCTTCATCTCCACTCAGGAAGCAGCTTTCAACCCTGCAAGCCCTCTTTACTACCTTCAATTGAAAAGGTAAGCAGTGTTGCCTAGAGGAGTCAATGCCTGTCACCTGGCCCAAGCATCATCATCGATGTCATTAGCTAGGAGCACAGAGAAGCTGGCAGGGAAGGAATGGAACAATGGGCTCAAGTATAGGACTAGCTTTGGCACTGGCAGGAGAGCAGCAGCCCTTAGGCCCAGAATGAAGAGTTGGCCTTTCCTGCCCACCCCAACATCCCCATCTCACTAAACTGGGGCTGCATCTGGGCAGTCTGCTTCTTCACATACCCAGGAAGAAAGAACTAAACCATTGAATGAGTTGTTTGCAGGCACGCTTGGGGGTCTGTGGCACTTCACTCAGTGGTGCCCAACTTGGAGACTCCTTTGGTGATGGTGGTGGTGATGGGCTTGCCTTCTCTCTCTGGAACTTCAGATCCTCAAATAAAGGGCTAGAGTCTATTTTAAAACAGGACAATAAAGGATCTAGGGAAGGAGAACACTTACGCTCAAAATCAGGTGTTGTTGGCTGGCTTTCGGGTATTCCAACTTCAGGATTCAGCAAGGCCCACCATGAGCAGCCAGGCTCATACCTAGGTAAGGACCGAGGAGGCAAGGCCCGAAGGGTCAGTTCCAGGGTCTGATGGTCTGCAGAGACACTGCTGCTTCCGTGCTCTGGGAGAGAAGGACTCCTTGGAGATCTGATCTCAGTAGTAGTCATAATCCTTTGAATGGGTCCAGTTTGCACTGCTTCATCCTTTGGGTAAGACAAAATCCTGCGGGGAACTCTGACTCCTTGGGGGTTCTGGACCTTGGATGGTGGGTCATCTTGTAAGATTTGTGATTGCAAGTTATCCTTCTGGTCTTGAAAACTCAATCGACGAGAAGATTTGACATCTGGGATGGATGAGGCATGATGGCCGACCTTGCGCCCTGACTTGCTCTCACCGCTTCTTCGTGTTGCTTCCTCTCTGGGTGGACTAACATTCCGTTGTCTGCTTGAAGCATGGGAAGCCAGTGTCTGAGTTTGCTGGCTCTTTGGATGAGGAGAGGAATGGCGGGATGATTCTGTTATTGGTCCAGTCTCGGTTCCCTGAGGGGTGGGTACCGCATAGCGTCCAGGCCCTAACTCGGGGGAGACAGATCGAGGATAGTCTGATGCCGAATGGAGAGTGGTGGGATGTGCAGCTTCTGATCTTCGGTGGGAAGGGTTCAGGGAGACTGCAGCACTTCGATGGTTTGAGGTAAGAATGAACCAATGTCCCCACTGAGGGAATGTGTTAGTAGTAACCTCAGACCCTCTCTGTGCTGAAACCGATACCTTGGCCCCAGGTTTATTTGTCTTGATGGTTGTGCCTTTCAGAGCAGATCTCATATTTTACTGGCTGGCTTGTATTCGGGAGCCTAATGATGCCTGAATATTTATCCTGTTTTCAAGCTGCTATTCTTGGGCATCTACAAAATTGGCTGTTGTTCTATGAGTGTCTCAAATAGTCTCCTTAGCTACTGCTCTGTAATGTGATGTCTGGTGATGTCATAAAGGAAGGAGCTTCCTTCCTATTACACATCCTAGCATAGAGCCACAATTCTTCACAGAATCCCAAAGCAGTACCTGAAAGGAAAGTGTGGATTTGTCTTTGGAGTTACATCACCAAGCCTTTGGCAAGTTTTTAACAAAACTGGGATTTCCTTGTATATAGAGAAGGCTCCAGACCCTCCCTTAATCTTCCCAGATTCTAGAAATTCTCAGGGACTCATCCAGAGAAGGAAACAGCCAGAAGATCCTATGAAGACAAGGTCAAACCAAACATGCTGTGTTCACCGCAGTTTTAATAAGGTACAAAGTTGCCCCACTTTTGTTTGAAACTGCACTGTGTACAAGTTTAAACAAAAATACAGCTTCAGCCTTTTCCGGTCTCAAGGATGGTTTCATTGCTCCTGGGATAAAAATACAAGTTGCTCAAATAATAAATTCTCACATTCTTGGTCCAGGAGTGTCTAGTGTTTTATTAATAAAAGGGATTTGGGCTGGGTGCAGTGGCTTATGCCTATAATCCCAGAACTTTAGGAGGCCGAGGCAGGCAGATCACCTGAGGTCAGGAGTTCGAGACCAGCCTGGACAGCATGGTGAAACCCTGTCTCTAACAAAAATACAAAAATTAGCCAGGTGTGGTGGTATGCACCTGTAATTTCAGCTAGCCAGGAGGCTGAGGCAGGAGAATCACTGGAACCCAGGAGGTGGAGGCTGCAGTGAGCTGAGATTGTGCCACTGCACTCCAGTCTGGGCAACAGAGCAAGACTCTGTCTCAAAAGAAAAAAAAAGAAGGATTTGTAGTTAGTTATTGGTTTCTATCATAAATGACTAGTTGGGTACCTAGAGAAATTACCTGAGTTGCCTGGGCCTTGGCTTCTTCACCTGGAAACCACTGCCAGGCACATGGTTGTCACATAACAAATGTTAATGTCATTTCTCACGATCCTGTCAGCCATCCAATTAGCCAGACTTGGTTCTCTTCTGAAGAGTAACTTTCCAATTTGGATGACCATTTTGGAGGAGACTCTGTCACCTCTCTCTCCCTTTCAAATGTTCTTTCTCTCTGTTTTTTAGACATAGACTCTACTATATACAACATTCTATCATGAACTCTGAAGGGTCATTGAGGTTATAGGATGGTCAGCTTCATTCTTCTATGCTCTACGCTGACCATTCTCTTCTGTTAACAGTTTTTCCTCAAATGAACTATTAATTATGACATTCTAGTCCTGCTTCCCATTGATTTAGCTTTAAATATTTTATTTTTGTTGAGACAGAGTCTTTCCCTGTCACCCAGGCTAGAGTGCAGCAGCACGATCTTGGCTCACTGTAGCCACCTCCTGGGTTCAAGCAATTCTCATGCCTTAGCTTCCTGGGTAGCTGGGATTACAGGCACCCACCACCATGCCCTGCTGATTTTTATATTTTTAGTAGAGATGAGATTGTTGACCAGGCTGGCCTTGAACTCCTGTCCTCAGGTGACCCACCCACCTTGGCCTCCCAAAGTGCTTGGATTACAGGCGTGAGCCACACTGCACCTGGCCAAGAGGGTACCTTGTGTTGGTCTTCTGACAACTCCAGATTATTTTTGCCCTTTTGTTTGTGGCTAGATCAGCTTAGGAGGCGTGTTGCTACCAAGTACACTCATCCTCTCTACCCCAGAGTCCACATAACCCTTTTACCTCCTTGGGGTCTCTTGGCCGCTATCCTGACACTGGTGGGGTGAAGGAAAAGATCAGAAAAGGTGGTCTCCACAGCCACAGTCAGGTGACCTGCAGCCAGGTCACCTGGGAGGACACCAGGTAGCTGTTTCTCAGCTATGCAAACTCTTAGGGTCTGCAGAGCTTGAACTGTTGGAGTCAGAATAACTGTGTTGAAGTCCTCACTAGCTGTGAAATCTAGGGTTGGGAACTTGGCCTCTCTGCATCTCGCAGTGGCTCACACTTGTAATCCCAGCACTTTGGGAGGCCAAGGTGGGTGGATCACTTCAAGACCAGCCTGGCCAACATGTTGAAACCCCATCTCTACTAAAAATACAAAAATTAGCCAGGTATGGTGGTGCGTGCCTGTAGTCCCGGATACCCGGGAGGCTGAGGCAGGAGAATCACTTGAATCCAGGAGACAAAGTGAGCTGAGATCACATCACTGGATGCTAGCCTGGGTAACAGAGGGAGACTCTGTCTCAAAAAAAAAAAACAAAGGTCGGGGGGGCAGGTGTGGTGGCTCACGCCTGTAATCTCAGCACTTTGGGAGGCCAATGCAGGCAGATCACCTGAGGTCAGGAGTTCAAGACCAGCCCAACCAATATGATAAAACCTCATCTCTACTAAAAATTTAAAAATTAGCTGAATGTGGTGGCACATGCCTGTAATCTCAGCTACATGAATCGCTCGAACTGGCAGGGGGAGATTACAGTGAGCTGAGATTGCACCACTGCCCTCCCGTCTGGGCAACAAGAATGAAAACTTTATCTTAGAAAAAGAAATGAAATCTCTCAACACCTCACTTGCTGATCTGGAAAGCGGATCTGATAGAACAACCTCATGGGTTCATTTGGAAGCTGAAATGTGAGAATACATGGGAAGCCAAGCACAAGCACAGTGAGTGGCAAGAGGCACTCCCTGGAGGGTCAGCACAGCATCACCCCTGAGAAGCAGGTGGCTGGTGGTCTGAAGGTTGCTGAGATGAGGATGAGGGGAAGTAACCCAGCACCTCCTTTGCCCTCCTGGGGCAGGGGGACAAGGGCTGCTCAAAGGCATGGTGTCCAGCTCCCTTTGAAGAGGGTAGAACCTGTCCAGCTTCTGTACTTCGGTTCCCCTAATGACCAGTCCAGAATGGCAGGGGCAGCTCTGCATGCCGAGAAAGGCCCGTTTCCCAAGCACCTCCCAGTGCCTCATCCCTGACGTCCCACTTCCACTCTTTGGCTGGCCATCACTTATTCCTGGCCGGGCCCAGTGGCTACACCTATAATACCAGAACTTGGGAAGCCGAGGCGGGCAGATCACTTGAAACCAAGAGTTCGAGACCAGCTTGATCAGTATGGCAAGACCCATCTCTACAAAAAAAATACAAAAAAATCAGCCGAGTGTGGGTGGTGTGCGCCTGTAGTCCAGCTACTTGGGAGGTTGAGGTGGGAGGATCACTTAAGCCCGGAAGGTGAAAGTTGATTGTGCCACTGCATTCCAGCCTGGTCAACAGAGCAAGATCTAGCAATAATAATAATAATAAATAATCTTATTCCCACTTTGAGGCCTGGGTCATCTCTTCCAAGAAGTTTTTGCACACACCCAATCCCTAGACTAGTAGTAAATCTCCTTGGATTAATCCCTGGAGCACTTGACATCCTGTGTCTTGTCCCACTCTTAAGGCTTCTATTTCAGCCAACCTAATTTATTCATTCAACAAATAGGTATTGAGTGTCTGCTCTGTGCCAGGTACTGGAGAGTGAACAAGACAGACTCATGGAGCTAACATTCTCAAGGAGGAGGTAAATACACAAATAAATATATGTGATATCAGATGCCAGGCACGATGGCTCATGCCTGTAATCCCAACACTTTGGGAGGCTGAGGTAGGTGGAATCACCTGAGGTTGGGAGTTCGAGACCAGCTTGACCAACATGGAGAAACCCTGTCTCTACTAAAAATACAAAATTAGCCGGGCATGGTGGCACATGCCTATAATCACAGCTACTTCAGAGGCTGAGGCAGGAGAATCGCTTGAACCTGGGGTACGGAGGTTGTGGTGAGCCAAGATCTCACCACTGCACTCCAGGCTTGGCAACAGAGCAAGACTGTCTCAAAAAAAAAAAAGAAAGAAAGAAAGAAAGAAAGTGAAGGCAGAAAGGAAGAAATGGTCCATAGAGAGTGAGGGATGGGGTATGGGTTGGGGGGGTCTTCTCAGCAGAGTGGTCAGGAAAGGCTCAGTGAATAGCAAAGGTTTTAAAATCTCAGAGACGGCCAGGCAGGGTGGCTCAAGCCTGTAATCCCAGCACTTTGGGAGGCCGAGGCGGGTGGATCACGAGGTCAAGAGATCGAGACCATCCTTGTCAACACGGTGAAACTCCGTCTCTACTAAAAATGCAAAAAAAATTAGTTGGGCATGGTGGCATGTGCCTGTAATCCCAGCTACTCAGGAGGCTGAGGCAGGAGAATTGCCTGAACCCAGGAGGCGGAGGTTGCAGTGAGCCGAGGTCGCGCCATTGCCCTCCAGCCTGGGTAACAAGAGCAAAACTCTGTCTCAAAAAAAAAAAAAAAAAAAAATCTCAGAGACAAGAATGAGTGTCATGTGAACAGTAAAAAGATATGACTGGAGTGGAGTGAGTGAGGGTAAAAGGAATAGGAGATAGGATCAGGAAGGGATCATATTTTTTTTAGATGGAGTCTCGCCCTGTTGCCCAGGCTGGAGTGCAATGGCACGATCTTGGCTCATTGCACCTCTGCCTCCCAGGTTTAAGCGATTCTCCTACTTTAGCCTCCCAAGTAGCTGAGACTACAGGTGTCGATCACCACGCCTGACTCATTTTTGTATTTTTAGTAGAGACAGGGTTTCACCATGTTGGTCAGGCTTGTCTTGAATTCCTGACCTCAAGTGATCTGCCTGCCTCAGCCTCCCAAAGTGCTGGGATTACAGGCTTGAGCCACTGTGCCTGGCCAGGAAGAAAGAATTTTTTATTTTAAATCTGTTAGTAAAAGCAGGAGACTGGCTGGGCACTGTGGCTCACACCTGTAATCCCAGCACTTTGGGAGGCTGAGGCAGATGGATTGCCTGAGGTCAGGAGTTTGAGACTGGCCTGACCAACATGGAGAAATGTCATCTCTACTAAAAATATAAAATTATCCAGGCGTGGTGGTGCATGCCTCTAATCCCAGCTACTCGGGAGGCTGAGGCAGGAGAATAGCTTGAACCTGGGAGGTGGAGGTTGTGATGAGCCGAGATCATGCCATTGCACTCCAGCCTGGGCAACAAGAGCAAAACCCTCTCAAAAAAAAAAATAAATAAATAAAAACAAAAAAACAGGACTATCAGAATCTGAATTGCTTTAAAGTGTAATGTAGCTGCAATAACATGTATAATTTTTACATGATAAACTCAACAAGCCAAATACACACACTTGGGTACCCACCCCAGATCATGACATGGAACGTTTCTGTCACCCCACAGGGCTTCTTTATGTCCCTCTCTGGTCAATACTTTTCTGCTACCCTATTGAGTGGGCACTATTTTTCCTTCTGTCCCCATAGATGAACTTAGCCTTGAACTTTGTCCTTGAACTTTGTTTTTCTTTTTTCTTTTCTCTCTCTCTCTCTTTTTTTTTTTAAGAAAGAGTCTCACTCTATCACCCAGGCTAGAGTACAGGGGTGCAATCATAGCTCTCTGCAGCCTTGAACTTCTGGGCTTAAGCAGTTTTCCCACCTCAGCCTCCTGAGTAGCTGGGACTACACGCATGCACCACTGTGCTTGGCTAATTTTTTTTTTTTGAGACAGGGTCTCCCTCTTTCACCCATGCTAGAATACAGTGGCATGATCTATGCTCACTGCAGCCTTGACCTCCCACTTCAGCCTACTGAGTAGCTGGGACTACAGAAATGCACCATCATATCACGCTAATTTTTTGTTTGTTTGTTTTTTGTTTTGAGACGGAGTTTCGCTCTTGTTACCCAGGCTGGAGTGCAATGGCAAGATCTCGGCTCACCGCAACCTCCGCCTCCTGGGTTCAAGCAATTCTCCTGCCTCAGCCTCCCAAGTAGCTGGGACTACAGGCGTGCACCACCATGCCCAGCTAATTTTTTGTATTTGTAGTAGAGACGGGGTTTCACCATGTTGACCAGGATGGTCTCGATCTCCTGACCTCGTGATCCACCTGCCTCGGCCTCCCAAAGTGCTGGGATTACAGGCTTGAGCCATCGTGCCCAGCTGGTATCTCTTTCCTTCTTTTTTCTTTTTTTGTTGAGACAGAGTCTTGCTCTGTCACCCAGGCTGGAGTGCAGTGGCATGATCTCAGCTCACTGCAACCTTTGCCTCCTGGGTCCAAGCAATTCTCCTGCCTCAGCCTCCTGAGTAACTTGGATTGCAGATGCATACTACCACGCCCAGCTGATTTTTGTATTTTTAGTAGAGACAGGGTTTCACCATGTTGGCCAGGCTGGTCTTGAACTCCTGACCTCATGATCTGCCTGCTTCAGCCTCCCAAAGTACTGGGATTACAGGCATGAGCCACCATGCCTGGCGAGGTATTTCTTACAGTATTTCAAATAGATAAAAAAAATGTTGACTCAAAAAGCTTGAAGCGTATATGTGAAGTCAGAGCCCAGCAGCCAGGATGTAGACCCAGTCTTCCCAAATTCAAACCTTTTCTCTTACCTTCATGTTGGGGTCCAGCACATCTGCCAGGGGGCTACCGACCTGGGGGAGTCCCCAAGACCACCAACGTAGATGTCTCATTCAACCTGAGGGAGAGAGTGCGTGGAAGTGAAAGAAGAAAGAAAAGCGGAGTCTGGAGGTCTGAATGACTTGTAGTCAAGCAGCAGCTTTATTTTTGTGGGTGACAGCTTTTATACCTTTTTTTATTGTTACATTTACTTTAGCTCAGCAGAAAAGGGGGCAAACAGAAAAGGGAACAGAAATCACGTAAAAATAGTTATCAGGGGCCTGTGATAACAGCTCACAAAGCAGTTTTGAGGGGGCTTGTGATAATAGCTTACAAAGCAGTTTAAGAGTTAATATATGTTTTTCAAAGATACACAGTGCAAGCAAACAATGGTGCCCTTAAGGTGGCTTGTTAATCATGTTTTCCATCAGGAGGTAGAACAGAGGCTCAGCTCCTGAGAAAATATGGGCAGGGGTCTTTGCCCCTCTCAGGCACCTCAATTGCAGCAAGCTTATTGCTTACACAGAGACTAAAGGGGATATGAAAGCAGTCAGCACAATGTCCTCATAAACCACAGGCCCTTGCTCTGCATTCTGTTTTTGCCTCAGTGGCTTAGCCATTTTTACCTCGACTGGACAGCCCTCGAGAGCGGGGGGAGAGCAGATAGGTCCAGCAGCCAAGTTGGGGTGAGTCACGCTAGCTGTCTCAAGCCCTTTGTGCAAACACTGCACCTTCACACAATGTCCACCTCCATAGTGCCTTGACAGGGAACGGGAAATATGTACATTGATTAGGTCAGTGCAGTGGGAGATTTATTTCTGTTCAGAAGTTCAGAGAAAGTCAAATTTGTTTTTGATCAAATAATTAAAGAGAAAGGGTCTTAAAGAAAAAGTTGGCTGGATACAGTGGCTCACACCTATAATCCCAACACTTGGGAGGCCAAGGCAAGAGGATTGCTTGGGACCAAACTGAGCAATATATGGAGACATCATCTCTGCAAAAATAAAAAACCTATCTGGGTGTAATGGCATATGCACCTATAGTCCCAGCTATTTGGGAGGCTGAGGTGCAAGGATCACTTGGGCCCAGGAGGTCGAGGCTGCAGTGAGCCATTATCATGCCACTACACTGCATGCAGCCTGGGCAACAGAACACGACTCTGTCTTGAAAAAAGAGAAACGTGGCCGGGTGCAGTGGCTAATCCCAGCACTTTGGGAGGCCGAGGCAGGTGGATCACGAGGTCAAGAGATTGAGACCAGGCTGGGTGTGGTGGCTCACGCCTGTAATCCTAGCACTTTGGGAGGCCGAGGTGGGTGGATCACCTGAGGTCAGGAGTTCAAGACCAGCCTGGCCATCAGGGCGAAACCCTGTCTTTAAAAAAAAGAAAGATCGAGACCATCCTTGCCAACATGGCAAAACCCCCACTCTACTAAAAATACAAAGGTTAGCTGGGTATGGTAGTGCCCACCTGTAGTCCCAGCTACTCAGGAGGCTGAGGCAGGAGAATCACTTGAACCTGGGTAGTGGAGGTTGCAGTGAGCTGAGATTGAGCCACTGCATTCCAGCCTGGCAACAGAGCAAGACTGCATCTCAAAAGAAAAAAGAAACGTTAAAATTGAACTGGTCTTTGAAAGATGGGTAGGATTTTTACAAAAAGTAAAGGCTTTTCAGACACATGGTACATGCGCAAAATGTTAGATTGCTTACAATATAAGACACACTAAAGTTTCTTTTAAAAATCACTAAAGATCCAAGTAATTAAAGTATAAAATGTGGCATGTACCCCAGGAGGGGCTTTCAGGCAGTGTTTTTAATGAGATTTTACTATGGACATGGAAGCTTTCCATTTCCTGTGGTGGAGCCCAGTGGCAGGAAGGCTTAGAGAGAGCTGGAAGAGAGGCCAGGGCACTGTTGGTGAGGGAGCCCGGGGAATCAGCCCTCTGCCCTCTGCCCTCACAAACCCCTGCCACACCCCTGTCGCCACCCCAGCTCACGGAATCACCTGGGGGTCTGATGAAGCTGTAGGTTCCTATTCAGAGAGTCTGTTCCTAACGGGCCCTGGGTGATGCCAGTGCTGCTGGTGCACAGAGCGCCCTGAGGAGGGCGGTGCCAGCTCATCCCTTCAGGGCTGGAGGCCAGCTGGCGTTCGTTCCTGAAGCTGCCTTGTCTCCTGGAAACTCAAATGTCTCTCTCCACCCATTCTTACCCTCCCTGTCTTTACTTAATGCCAGCTTCGCTACCTGTGTTTTCCATCCCACTCCTTCCTCTCTTCCGGCTTTGGCTCATCGCCTGTTTGCTTCAGTCTCCTGGCAGAAAGCCCCCAGCCCTGCTGCTTCTCCTCTCAAGCGGCCATTCCTGTCCCCCTCAGCTCCCTCCCCAACAGCACAGTGGCCAGCTCCTTCCCTCCAGCGTTCTCTCTGCTCTCCTCACCACCCGGCCTCAGCAGAGCACTCTGAGAGCTTCTCTGTCGATAGTGAAACCCTCATTCTCTCCTTGAGCGTCCTTGTTTGCTTTCCCAGCTTCAGCTGTCGCCTGCATGATGCTCTTCAGCCGGTACACTGCTAACTCCGTTACTCTGCTGGGGCTGCCACCTCAAGGTCCCACAGACTTGGTGGCTTAAACAACCAAGATGTGTTTCATCACAATTCTGGAGGCTCTAAGTCCAAGAGCAAGTGTCGACAGGATTGGTTTCTTCTGAGGACCTCTCTTGTCTGCTTGTGGATGGCCGTCTCCTGGTGTTTTCACATGGTCTTCCCTCTGTGCGTGTCTGTGTCCTGCTCTTGTCATAGGAGGACAATCATCGTATAGGGTCCACCCATATGACTTCATTTTACCGTAATTACCTCTAAAGGCCCTATGTCCAAATACAGTCCCACTCTGAGGTCCTGGGGTTCAGGTCTATAACATGAATTTGAGGGGGAAACAGTTTATCCTATAACACTGCCTCTGACCCCTCTTGGGAACATCAGGCCTACAGATCCAGCTCTCCCTCCCACCCCCCATATCTCTCTATACAGCATATCCCAAACAGACCCACCTGGCCCCCTTCCCAGTCCTTCCTCCTGCTGTCCCAATCCAGATCAGGGCCTTGGGATCCTCTGGCTCTCCCTCGCCCCCTTCCCATCACTGGGTCATCTGTTGAATTGTCTGCACGTCTTTTGTGTTTGCCTATTCCTTGGTGTTGCTGGTGCCGTGGTTCCAGCTGCTAACATTTCCGGACACTTCTGCCTGGTCATCTTCCTCTCCACCAGCCCAGCTTACACTCCCTTGCCTTACTAAGCAGGGCTCCAGCTCTCTCCTGCCCCTGCCTGGGAAGCTTCCATTGCTCCCCACTACCGCGGAGTATCGTGCGATCTCGTGAGGTAGACAGGCTGGGTATTGTTACTGTTATTTGCTAGTTTTAGAGATGAGGAAGCCAAGGACCCAGTTGCTCAGTGTTTACTAGCTAGACAGCAGGCGTTCTATGTGCCAACTTCAAACTGCTCAGCCTGGCATTCAGAATGGCAATGGCATGTCCCAGACCGTGGTCCCAACTGTCCATTTTCTAACAGCTCCCCAGGCACCCACACTTCTCTGCCTCTTTTTCGCTCTGCACCCTTGACCCTCCTCCTTTTTCTGCTTTGTCAGAATCCTTAAGGCACTTCGTAAATAACCATTTCCAGGGATTTACCCTCACATCTGGGTTACTCCAAGGGACAGGGCGGCCTCATGGGTGCCTGTGGGGGGTGAAGGGTCCTCCTGGCTGTGGGTGTGATCACACACTCCTGTTGTAACCCCTGCTCCCCCTGACACTTGCTGCCCCTCGATTTAACTGCCTTGTGTTCTGTGCCTCCCATTTGCTGGTAAGACCCTGAGTCGGCAAGCGTCCTTGGTTTCCTCATCTCTAAAACTAGCAATTAACTATGGTCCCTCCACCATAGTTCTTGCATGGTGCTGGATCCACAGCTGGCACCACTCGGAAATACCTCAGTCCTGTGGAGGAAGACAGGCTGGGTTTCCAGCCACCCTTCTATGTCTGTATACTCTGCTCTTCACTGAGGCCAGGCCCCTTTGGGCTCGTCTGCCTCTACACAGATAATGAATTCTACCCACTGATCCCCTCCTCTCCTCCAGTAACAGTCCACCTCCCTAGTGAGCATCTGGCTGACACCCGTTCCATTCCCCAGGCCTATGAGGCCTGGTCCCTTGCCATTGCTGAGCCACAGCACCCGCCCATCTGGCCTTAGAGCGCTGTCATTTCAGAGCAGAGTGTGCACGGGGTGGTCAGGTGAAATGCAGCTGAGGGCTCTGCGACCAAAGGCAGAGCTTGGATCCCATGCTCTCCTCCTCTCTCCGAGCCTAAACAGTGCTCCCTTTCCCTGTTTCCCACGGTATCTGGCAGAATTTAGGCCACATTTCATTTTCTTCCGCCCACAGGGCTCCCTGCCCACTGGGTCCCCAGTCACTCTGTCCAGGTGCACAAGCTTCTCATCGTGGTGGAGCTGTTGCTGGGGGAGATCCCCGACCGGCTGCAGTTCCGACAGCCGTCCCTCAAGCGTTCACTCATGCCCTATTTCCTTCTGACTCAAGGTAAGGCTGGCTTCCCCACCCCAGAGCCCGCTAGGCCCCCTTCACTGGGGCCTTTTCCGTGCCCATGCCGGTTTGCATCATCCAGTCCACTCCTGTTCTCCCTGCAGCTGTCAGGACAGGAAACCTAGCCAAGTTCCACCAGGTCCTGGATCAGTTTGGGGAGACGTTTCAAGCAGATGGGACCTACACCCTAATTATCCAGCTGCGGCACAACGTGATTAAGACAGGTGTGGATCAGGATCTGAGGGGCTGTCGGAGGAACAGAAGCCAGGCTGGGGCAAACCCAGTGGCTATCTGTGGGCAAGTGAAGGGTCTGTGCCCACCCTGCCCTGCCCACCCCATCTCTCCTTCCTCTCCCAGGTGTGCGCATGATCAGCCTCTCCTATTCCCGAATCTCCTTGGCCGACATCGCCCAGAAGCTGCAGTTGGATAGCCCCGAAGATGCAGAGTTCATTGTTGCCAAGGTGGGGCTGGTTCAGGAACCACAGGGACCAGGTTGTCACTTTCCTGCCAATTTCAGGAGGCAGGAATGGGAGGAGTTTGGCCAAGGAGGGGAATAGGTAAAGCAATGGCATAGTCTTTTCAGGGAGTGCCCGTCATTTGCAGTGAAGCCAAGAAGTTGCCAGAGGGAGAATGGATGTGCGTGTGAGTGTAGGTGTGTGCACATGTTGAGTTTATGATAGTGCCTGCGAGTGTGAGAATATAAGGCAGGCAGAGGAATGGGATGGAACAAGATGTTCTCTGGCTTAGAAGATGGGTGTGCTGGGCCAGGCGCACTGGCTCATGCATCGTCCTAGCACTTTGGGAGGCCAACGCGGGCAGATCACCTGAGGTCAGGAGTTTGAGACCAGCCCGGCCAACTTCACAAAAGCCTGTCTCTACTAAAAATACAAAAATGAGCCAGGTATGGTGGCAGGTGCCTGTAATCCCAGCTACTCGGGAGGCTGAGGCAGGAGAATTGCCTGAACCCGGGAGGCGGAGGTTGCGGTGAGCCAAGATCACTCCAAGATCATGCACTCTCCTGCCTGAGTGACAGAATGAGACTCTGTCTCAAAAAAAACAAAAGAAGATGGGTGTGCTGGTGAGCTTTCTTTCCTCTTTGGGGGCCTGTAGGCCTTCCGGGATGGTGTCATTGAGGCCAGCATCAATCATGAGAAGGGCTATGTCCAATCCAAGGAGATGATTGACATCTATTCCACCCGAGAGCCCCAGCTGGCCTTCCACCAGCGCATCTCCTTCTGCCTAGATATCCACATGTCTGTCAAGGTGAGGAGCCTGTGGCTGCAGAGTCACACCTGGCAGCAGCACGCCCCTCCCTCCACATTCATGGATTCCTCAGAGAAGACCCAAGTCCCAGCCCATCGCTGTAAAATCACTGAGCTGCAGCACAGGGGTCCCAGAATGCAGAGGGGACTTAGCCACAGTTCCACAGCTAGTTGCCCTCTCTTCTTCTGTTTAAGGAATTTGGTCACCACGGAGGACCAAGCAGGGATTCAGAGGGCAGGGCTCTACATTTGGTTCCAAATTTGAGTCATTTAACTTCTCAGAGCTCTATTTCTCCATCTCTGAAGCTGATAGGGAGGTGTTACCTGTCTTGCTTGCTTCATAGGGTTGGTAAGATTAAACGAAGTCCCTGTATTGAGGCACTTAACAAAGTCTAAATTGTAAAAAAGATGGGACTGGGCTGGGGGGGGAGGGGATGTGGCTCACACCTGTAATCCCAGCACTTTTGGAGGCCGAGGCAGTTAGATCACCTGAGGGCCAGAGTTCGAGACTAGCCTGGCCAACATGGTGAAACCCCATTTCTACTAAAAATACAAAAAATTAGCTGGGCGGTGGCACGCATCTATAATCCCAGCTACTCAGGAGGCTGAAGCAGGAGAATCGCTTAAACCCGGGAGGCGGAGGTTGCAGTGAGCCCAGATCATGCCATTGCACTGCAGCTTAGGAGACAAGAGCAAAACTCTGTCAAAAGAAAAGAAAAGAAAGAAAGGACCGTGCTGGTATCTAGCTCCATGAAAGGGGGAGCCCTCATCCTCTGGCACTGAGTTTGGTGCTATTACTATTTGGTTGCCATGTTTTCTTCCAGTCTCCTCCCAGGAAACTAGGGATATTGCTCCCTTGCTTAAAATCCAGCTAAGCCCTTCTTCACGTGATATGCAAGGCCCCTTGTGACCTGGTCCCTAACGTCTCGCCCCACTGAGCACAGGCCTGGCCTCTCCCCATTCCCACACCCACTGTGTTCTTCCTTTTCCTCCTCCCTGCCCAGTTGAGAGTGTTGGTCATTTATTCCTCTTTTCAGTATTTCCCACAGTGCACTGTAATTCCTTTGATGCCTGGCCCCCCACTAGACTAACTGGAGAGGGCCCGCTGCTTCCTGCTGGGTGTTGGCTCACAGGGGACGCAGGGAGTGCAGGTTGCACAAATGCCTCCCCTGCTTCCTCCCCTCCCTTACCTCGCTCCTCTCTCTGCTGTGCCCCAGGCCATGAGGTTTCCTCCTAAATCCTACAACAAGGACTTGGAGTCTGCAGAGGTAAGCTCTCCTCTGCTTTCTGGGTGAGACTGAAAGGTCAAATTTCCACACACAAGGGGAGGTGGGGAAGTGTCTGGAAGGGCTGGGAGCTGCTCTGAAGCTTTGGCCTCACCCCGCCTCTCTCCCCAGGAACTGCGTGAGCGAGAACAGCAGGACTTGGAGTTTGCCAAGGAGATGGCAGAAGATGATGATGACAGCTTCCCTTGAGCTGGGGGGCTGGGGAGGGGTCAGGTGAATGGGGACAGGCTCTTTCCCCCTCGAGGGTCCCCTGCCCAGGGCACTGTCCCCATTTTCCCACACAGAGCTCATAGGCTGCATTCGTGCAGGGGGTGGGGGTGCTGGGAGCCAGCCACCCCCATCTCCCCCAGGGCCCCTCCCCAGCCAGTGACTGATTGCACAGTGGGCAGGAGGGTGGGCAGGCGACCTCCCCGGGCAGGGTCCTGGCTAGTGGTGTGGGAGAAGGAGGGAAGGATAGCCCTGTGCTCCTCTAGGGAGCAGGGGCCTAGAACTGGGATGTCTTGGCTTGCATGTTTTTTGAAGCTTCTATTATGATTTTTAAACAATAAAAAGGTCTCCAAAGCGTTTTGTGTATCAGTTACTATACTTCACTGCAATATTGGCAGCCTTTGATTTTGGTTTTTTGGCCTTAGAGTACTGGCCCTGGGTGTGTAGTAATCTGAAGGCCCGATGGGTCTGCAGAAGGGGAGGTATCTAGGGGAGGATGGAGGGACCCTGAGCTGGAGTCAGGGGCCTAGGTTTACTCTGTTTCGTACCTGTGTGGTTCTCAAATACTGGCAGATCACCACATCTCTCAGGCTCCTTCCCCACATCTGCCATAAGATTAGTCAGTGAACTGGTTCTTAAAAATAGGAATCCAGGCCAGGCTTGGTGGTTCACACCTGTAATCACAACACTTTGGGAGGCTGAGGCAGGCAGATCACAAGGTCAAGAGATAGAGATCATCCTGGCCAACATGGTGAAACCCTGTCTCTACTAAAAATAGAAAAATTAGCTGGGCGTGGTGGTGCATGTCTGTAGTCCCAGCTGCTCAGGAGACTGAGGCAGGAGAATCGCTTGAACCCCAGAAGCGGAGGTTGCAATGAGCCGAGATCGAGCCATTGCACTTCAGCCTGGGCAACAGAGTGAGACTCCGTCTATAAATAAATAAATAAATGAATGAATGAATGAATGAATGAATGAATGTTGAGTGTGTTCTCACTGCTCACACACCATCCATTCCCTGTCTCTCTCCCTCTCCTTGAGTCTCTCCATGGCCTGAGACACAAAATAATACTGAAATTAAGCCTATTAATAACCCTCCAATGGCCTCTAAGTTTTGGCCAGGCATGGTGACTCATGCCTGTTATCACAGCACTTTGGGAGGCCAAGGCTAGTGGATTCCTTAAGCTCAGGAGTTCGAGATCAGCCTGGGCAACATAGCGAAACCCCATCTCTACTAAAAATACAAAAATTAGCTCGGCATGGTGGTACACGCCTGTAGTCCCAGCTACTTGGGAGCTTGAGGTAGGAGGATCCCTTGAGCCTGGGAGGTGGAGGCAGAGGCTGCAGTGAGCTGAGATCCTGCCACTGCACTCCAACCTGGGTGAGAGTGAGACCCTGTCTCAAAACAGAAAACAGAAAAAGGGAGAAAGGATCACATGTCTCTCACTTTAAATCAAAAGGTCAAAATGACTATGTTTAGTGAGAAAGGTATGTTGAAAGCTGAGAGAGGCCAAAAGCCAGGCCTCCTGCACCAAATGGGTAGCCACATTATGAAGGAGTTCTTGAAGGAAATTAAAAGCACATGCTCCAGGTTGGGTGCAGTGGCTCATGGGAGGCAGAGGCAAGTGGATCACTTGACAGTAAGAGTTCGAGACCAGCCTTGCCAACATGGTGAAATCCCATTTCTATTAAAAATACAAAATATTGGCTAGGCTTGGTGGTACACACGCCTGTAATCCCAGCTACTCTGGAGGCTGAGGCAGGAGAATCACTTGAACAGGGGAGGCGGAGGTTGCAATGAGTCAAGATCACAACACTGCACTCCAGCCTGGGTGACAGAGTGAAATTCCGTCTCAAAAAAATAATAAATAAAAGTGCTGCTTCAGTGGACACACGGATATGAAAACAGAACAGCCTTATTGCTGATAGGGAGAAAGTTTCAGTCTGGAAAGATCAAACCCGCAACAACCTTCCTTTAAGCCAAAGCCGAGTCCGGAGCAAGGCCCTCGCTCTCTTCAGTCCTGTGAAGGTAGAAAGAGGTGAGAAAGTTGCAGAAGAAAAGTTAGAAGCTAACAGAGGTTGGTTTGTGAGGTTGAAAGAAGCCGTCTCCATGCCACAGAAGTGCAAGGTGAAGCAGCAAGTGCTGATGGAGAAGCTGCAGCTGGTTATCCGTCCAGATTCAGCTCAGATCACTGAAGAAGGCGGCTGCATTCAACAACAGACCTTCAGTGTAGAAAATCAGCCTTCTACTGGAAGAAGATGCCATCTAGGACTTTCATAGCTAGCCAGGAGAAGCCAATCCCTGGCTTCAAAGCCTCGAAGGAGAGGCTGACTCTTGTTAGGGCTAGTGGAGCTGGCGACTTTAAGTTGAAGCCAATGCTCATTTACCATTCCGAAAATCCTAGGGCTCTTGCTAATGATGCTAAATCTACTCTGCCTGTGCTCTACAGATGGAACAACAAAGCCTGGATGGCAGCACATCTGTTTCCAGCATGGT